CACACAAGTCCAAAAATATCACACGAACTTGCTCGCGTGATCAAATCGCCAAAATAACACCTAGAACTATGAATTTAGCACCAAATCAAATGAAATTCTCAAGAACACTTTAAAATTCCTATCTTCTCAACTGGACGTCCGAATCACTTATGTAAACCCGCAACAAACCTCCGCACTCTCTTCGCCTCAGTAGGCAGTATCATAAGTACATGGCGAGATAACTTAGAGAACCTCGCCTCATAATCGGTCACTGACATCTGACCCTGCTAGAGCTGCTCAAACTGAAACCGCAACTCTTCCCTCTGGGAGGGTGGAATATACCTGTCCAGGAAAATACGGGTAAATCTGTCCCAAGTCATGGGAGGAGAATCTGCTGGTCTGCCAAGAATATAAGACTTCCACTATCTACNAACAAACCTCCGCACTCTCTTCGCCTCAGTAGGCAGTATCATAAGTACATGGCGAGATAACTTAGAGAACCTCGCCTCATAATCGGTCACTGACATCTGACCCTGCTAGAGCTGCTCAAACTGAAACCGCAACTCTTCCCTCTGGGAGGGTGGAATATACCTGTCCAGGAAAATACGGGTAAATCTGTCCCAAGCCATGAGAGGAGAATTTGCTGGTCTGCCAAGAACATAAGACTTCCACCATCTACGGGCCCTGTCCTCTAGCTGAAAAGTAGCAAAGTCAATCCCATGAGACTCCAATATCCTCATGTTGTGCAGTCTGTCCCTGCACCGATCAATAAAGTCCTGGGGATCCTCATGTCGCTCACCCCCAAAGACAGGACGATGTAGTCTAGTCCATCTGTCCAATAGTTTCTACGGATCAACGGCTACAACTGGCCTGGGCTCAGGTGTAGCTGCTACCACTGGCTGGGCTCCACCCACAGGTAGTACACCCTGGGTCTGATATATAGCAGCTATCTATCCATGAGCATGCGCGGTAGGGGTTTGTGCTCCCCCGCTCGCCTGAGATGTGGCTGGGTCTGCCGAAAATAAACCGGCCTGAGTCATAGTGTCTATGAACCGCATCATACGACCCATGACATCCTGAAATTCTAGTGCAGATGTGAAATCCACCGGAGCTGGCTCTGCCACAGGCACCTCACCATGTTCCTCAATAATGGATTCTCTGCTGGACCCACTGGCGGCATAACTGGAACAGTCCTGGGACGTCCTCACCCCTACCACGGGCTGGAGCCCTCCCTCGGCCTCTGCCTCGGCCTCTAACAACTGGGGGAGTAGCTCTTCCCTGGTTTGGAACCTCATTATAGCATGTTCTCACAATCTGTGAGAGAATAAGAGAAAGATATTTAGTACTACATCAATTGCACGATGGAATATGAAGAAAGGTAGTTTTCTAACACCCTATAGCCTCTCGAAGATAAGTACAGACATCTCCGTACCGATCCGCAAGACTCTATTAGGTCTGCTCATAACTTGTGAGACCTACGTGAACCTAGTGCTCTGATACTATGTTGTCACGACCTAATTTTACCTATAGGCCGTGATGGCGCCCAACACTACAGCTAGGCAATCCAACTAGTAATTTAAACCCATATTCAATTCTTTTAAAAATTAACCGAGTAATTTAAACTCTTCTTACTTGCAAGGATTAAAAACAATATGAAAAGATCTGGTAAATTAAAATAATCAAAAAAATAATTAAATCAAAACATTCTACTAGTGTGTGTGCCAAGATCTGGTATCACAAGTGTATGAGCATCTAGTAGATTATACAAAAATTATAAATATTGTCTGGAATGAAATAGACAGAATAAAAATTCAGGAAGAGGCATTAGTTGCTGCAGAACGGCTCAGAAAGCAGCTCACCACTAAGCCTCCGGATAACGCGGGTGCGCGCTGATAGGTCCAACAATAGAACCTGTCTCAGGTCCTGCACAAAAAATGCAGCAAATATAGCATGAGTACGTAAACAACGTGTACCCAGTAAGTATCAAGCCTAATCTTGAAGAGGTAGAGACGAGATGGCCGACTTTGACACTCACTATGGGTCAATAATAATAATCAAAATAAAACTAGAATATCTAAATTCACATGATTCACAGAGTTAACAATAATTTATTTAACCAGCAGAAATAATTAAATTCCTTCAAATGCAACAATTTCCAAACTATTAATTAAATTCACAAGATGCAATTGAATACCAAGGTCTCGTATAATAATAATTATTATTAGGCACGATTTCTGCCGAGGCCGTACGGCCCGATCCACAGTATCGTGTACACTGTCGAGGGATGTGCGGTGCGATCCATAGATGCATATATCCTACCGAGGCATTTGGCATGCTCCACAAGAAAGGAGGACATTTCTTATGTACCTCCGGAAGAAAAGTATATTTATCATAAGTAAATTCGGGAGGATGGACAATTCTTTTAATAATTAATTAATTTAAACATAAAATTAAGCATATATGAGATTTCCATCTTACTATATTTCCTATCAATTCACAATATCTTTCAAATAATTTAATTAAGTAAAGAATACAATTTATACACGAAATTCATGATTTGATTCCTAAACTACCCAGACTTTAGCATAAATAGTAGCTACGTACGGACTTTCGTTACCTCGTGCGTACGTAGCCCCCACATTTAGCAATAATTATTAATTTAAATCTCCTATGGGGTAAATTCCCCCTCACAAGATTAGACAAGAGACTTACCTTGTCTCAAAGTCCACTTTCCGATTACCACATCGTGTTAAATTCTCAATTCGATGCCGAAAATTCCTAAACTATCCAAATGTTATACAAAATAATTAATACATGTTCAATAATTCGAATTTAGGCTATTAAATAAATTACCCAACCCAAAATAGTAAAATTCTTAAAATTCACCACGGGCTCGGATTCAGGAAATTTTCAGATAAAAACGTTACCCATAATCTCAAGAACTCAAATATATAAATTCTATTCAATTCCATAACCATTTTCGTGGTTAAAATCTCATTTTTATAAAAATCTAGGTTTTTCATCTAAACCCTTGATTTTCAAGATTTACCGGTTATAATCTACCCATAATCTATATATTTAACTCAAGATGCGTAGATTAACTTACCTCCAAGTTGTTAGTTGAACTCCCCTCTCAAAATCTCTGAAATCGCCTGAAAATGGAGGAAAAATGGATAAAAATGGACTAAGCTTCGTCCGTTTTAAGGTTCTGTCCAAGCAGATTTTTTGCACCTGCGAAGGAGTGACCACACGTGTGGCTTCGCACCTGCGGAAGTTCCTCGCAGGTGCGAGTTTCACTCACTTGGACCAGCTTTGCATCTGCGCACCATGCCTCGCACTTGCATGTTCGCAGGTGCGCCAAAAGTTCCGCACCTGCGGTGGCAGATTTGCTCCTCAACTTCACACCTGCGGCTGGTGGCTCGCACCTACGACTGCCCATACGCAGGTGCGATCATACTAGAAGCTGGAAGCTTCAGCTCTTCTTCAAAATTCCAAAATTGATCCGAGCCCCGTCCGGTTATCACTCGGGGCCCCCGGGGCCCCGCCCGAACATACCAACAGGTTTGAAATCATAAAACGGACTTGCTCGAACTCTTGGAACGTGTAAAACAATATTAAATCAAAGAATCATACTCCAAACCAAATTGATTCAACTTAGAAATTTTAAATTTTTCAAACTTACTCCGAACGCGCCAAAATATACTTAAACTACTCGGAATGACACGAAATTTTGCTGGCAAGTCTTAAATCACTATACGGAGCTATTCCCAAACTCGGAATTCCAAACGGATTTCAATTACTCCAAACCAAATTTAAAGAACTTTAAACCTTCAAATAATTAATTTTCACTATTAAGCGCCAAAACGCTCCCGGGTTATCTAAAATCCGGTTCGAACATACGCCCAAGTACGAAATCATCATACGAACCTATTAAAACCGTCAAATTCCGATTCCGAGGTCGTTTTCTAAAAATGTTGACCGAACTCAAACTTGGCCTTTTAAGGCCAAACTAAGGAACCAATTGTTCCGATTTCAACCCGATCACCTTCAAATTCTGAATCAACCATCCCCGCAAGTCATAAATTATTAAAAGCACATTCGAAAAGTATTATTTAGGGGAATAGGGTTTTAAAAGTCAAAATGACCGGTTGGGTCATTATAATATGTTATAGAGCAATAAGTTTTGAACGAATTGACTAATCTTTTAATATATTGTAAACTATGGATATATTTTAACAACATGCTTAAAAGTGGGTACATGGTGTCATTTTCACCTAAATATGTAAGGATAATCAATCCATGAGAAATCTTGAACTTTTTTGTTTTATATGTTATAGAGCAATAATAAAGAAAAAGAGTTTTTTCCATAATTAAATAAATTATAAGAAGACTAACAAAGATATTAAAAAAAATATGAGAGTATTGTTTAGTTCATATTAAGTTAGTCCATTTTAACTTGCTCTAAATTAGAACCCGTTTGGATTAACTGATTGTAAATAGATGATAAGTTTGAAGTGCTGAAGAATATTTTTAAGTGCTGAAACTGATTTTTTAAATAAGCATTTACGTGTTTGGATAGGTGTGATGAAACTGATAATAAGCAGTTGATATGTTTGGTAAAAAGTGCGGATAAGTTATTTTTTTTTTTGGTAAAATGACTAAAATATCTTTAAAAACTTTAGAAAAGATTATAAATTAAAAAAATTCTTTATAAAGAAAAGGATGAACAAGGAATATGGAATGAAAAGAATATTAGAAAATTTATTTTGGGAAAAATATTTTGTGAATTAAAAAATATTATTAAGGATAAACTAGTAAAAGCCTTGGTCAAACTAAAAATGCTTATAAACTGAAAAGCCATAAGTTGAGGATGACCAACTTATAACATAGCTGATTTTAGCTTATAAATATTTTGTGTATTTTACAAACGTGTAAATAAATAAAAGGGTACTTATAAGTCAGTTTGACAAACTTATAAGTCACTTTGATCGACTTATAAGCTCAGCCAAACAACCCTTTTGGTCTAATCTGTTTCAAACACCTATGCATGCAATCTAGAGTAAATTTGAGCAATTTCAGTAAATTTACTATTCCCAATTATGATACTGTAGTATATCTCAGTTAGGTGTTTAACATGTCCAACAAAGCAAAAGGGAGGAGAAACCAAGAGAAGTGAGAGGCAACAGATAAGAAGAGAAACAACAAGTGAAAATTTTGGAATTCCAAACAAAGTCCAAGATTCTTAACTATCAGGTTTGTCAAATTTTGTTTTTGAGCTTATTTATCCCCACTTCCTAAACTGTAAATTTCACAGAATTCTTGATTTTGCGTTTTTCCCCCTTTGCTTAATTGCTTGTGAAATGTCAGCTCTAATTGTTTGTTGCTAATTTCTTACACCTTAGATACATATTGGTTTTAATTTGGAATGGCAAAATTGAACTCAAAATTTTGATTTTGACCCCAAATTCCACCTCCCTAATTGCAAATTCACGTAAATCTTGGTTGATTTCATTTAGAATAGTAAAGTTTAGGTCAAAATATTAATCTTGTGCTCGTGATTTATTCTCATCCGCCTAAGCTTTGGTGGGTAGAGTTATCCGTTACACGTGCTCTGGGAGTTAGCAGGTACCGGTGGAATAGTCGAGGTGTCCATAAGCTGCGATGAGCACCACACACCACATTGATTTTTGAGCTCCCCCCAACCCCTCTTTCATAATTGCAAATTCACAGGAATCTTGGCTCTTCTCTCTTGTCTAATTTGCTCAATTGCTTTTAAAAACATCTACTTTAACGGAACTTATATGCGTACCGCGATCTCTATATACTGATATCTCTACTGAATTATGTTAAGCTAAAGATGGTATTTTTTTGCCTTCTTTGAGAATTTTACTTTTAGACAATATTTAGGTTTCCCTTATGTCTATTTTGTTCAATTTTCTGTGAAAACGTCCCAAGGGCTTTGGTCTAGTGGTAAAAGCACTTGTGATGTGCGGATTAGGCACCCACACGTCACAAGGTTCGAACCTTGTTGTAGACAAAATCCTAGTATTTAAGTGGAGAAGGGTAGAAGGGCGGGACTGTTATCCAGGTTTTGAAGCAAGCACCACTGACCCTCGGGGATTTATCGGTTATCAAAAGAATTTCTTGTAAAAACATCAGCTTTATTGGAAGTTTTATGCCTAATACAATTTCTACATACTGATATTTATACTGTATTCTGCCGTCCAGGATAGGGATAAGGTATGCGTACACACTACCCTCCCAAGACCCACTTGTGGGAACTCACTGGATTTGTTGTTGTTGTTGATATTTATACTGTATTATGTTGAGTAATGATGGTCCTTTTCTGCCTCCTTAGAGAATTTGGCATCTACACGATAGTTGGTTTTCATTTGGAATAGCAGAGTTGAGCTAAAAATTTATGAGTTTGAGCTATATTCTCCCTTGATGATGGGATATTAACATAAGTCTTGGTTTCCTTTCTCTTGGCTTTTCTCAACTGAATGTAAAAAGTTCAGCTTTAATGGAACTTATACTCCCAATAAAATCTGTTATATATTAATATCTTCACTGAATTGCATTGAGCTAAAAAAATGGTATTTTCTGCCTTTTTAAAAGAATTTGCATGTTACACATGTTATGTTCATTTAGAATAGCAAACTTGAGCGGATTTTCTCAAATTAACTCCTCCTAAGCATAGCTGGACAAAGGAGGAGCATACCAGTAGGTTGATGGCTAGTGCAGTAATAGTACTATTATGAATCTCTGAAATACTCTATAAAGCAGAATGAATACGGAGGACTTATATAGCCGATCCAACTAGTTTGGGATTGAGGTTTAGTTGATTAATTTATTGAAGCTCTTCCGTAAAATTTTGTTTATGGTTTCTAATGAGGGCAACATCATTTTCTGTATACACTTGTCTTGCTCAATATATTCTGTATGTTCCAATTCTTTCTTTTTGGCAGGGTCTGGCATTTAAGAACTTGATTATGGATGATATGCGCGTCTCTCAGACAAACACCTTGCACTGTCTTTCATGTGAAAATGTATTTTGAGTTTTTACATTCAGAGTCCATTGAAGACATGGGGTATTCTATGAGTAAGTTGGAAGCAGAGACCGAACTCTTGGATGGTTCAAGTTCCAATCACGGGGCTACTGAAAGTGCTCGTCACAACATACCATCACATTTTTTGGACCATGAAATTGCTCAGCTTACTAAACTTAGATCAGGACCCCATGAAAATATCAGTAGAATCCTACCTGGGAAAAGGGAAGTTCCTGTGTCCACATTCAAGATGCTAGCCGCCCGAGAAGCCAATTATTCCGGTAGAGGAAGGTTCTCAAAGGCAGATAGTTGTCATGTTCTAAGTAAATATTTGCCGGTAAATGGTCCTTGGATTGTAGACCAGATGGCAACAAGGGCTTATGTGTCACAATTTTCGGCAGATGGTTCCCTTTTTGTTGCCGCTTTTCAGGTATTAGAGGTAGTTCATATTGTATTTTATTGACATCGAGAAGATTAGGCACGACAGGTGTTAGTATTATATTATTGTCTTTTACTCCCTCTGTTTCAATTTATGTGGCAATATTACTATTTGGGAGAGTATACGAGGTTTTTTTTGACCATATTTTTCTTAAATATTTTATAAATATTTTAAATTATAAATTATTATGACTTATAGTACTTTTTATGTAGTTTTCAAATATGTAAATTTATTTTCAAAACCTTGAAGAATCTGTATCTAATTTCACGATCATAATTAAGAACTTTGGCCTTCGTACTATGCATCATGCCGCATAAAGTGGAACAGAGGGAGTAAGATTTTTCATATCCAAGCTGAAACCTGTATCTTTTTCTTTAGTATGACATCCCGAAGTTCTCTAAAGACTACACCCTTAACAATGCATTAGACAGATGTGAGTTTTGTTTCATTCTGATGCTTCTCCTTCATTATTGTCTAAAACAGGGAAGCCATATTAGAATATATGATGTGGAGAGAGGGTGGAAAGTTCACAAGAATATTCTTGCAAAAAGCTTGAGATGGACAGTCACTGATACATCTCTTTCACCAGGTCAACGGCATCTTGTAAGTTTCTATGCTACCGATGAATCATGTTTACATTGACAACAACTATGCCTTACCCCCAAACACATTGGGCTTGACTATATGAATCCTTACTGACTATGCTACTCCATTTAAACTCATCTCAGACCAATATTATACAAAATAATAATAATAATAGCAAAAATTAAAAGTATTAGAAGTTCTTGATATATTCTACTTACACATAAATCTTTGAAAAGCTAAATGTCAAGTTTGGAACTGTAAAATCTTGCTTTGGATTTTATGATATTGAGCAACTTAAGCTGTTAACAAATGGACATTGACCAATAACTTACTAATAGAATCTAAGTTAATATATTACATCTAGATTTGTATTGCTAAATTCTTTTCAAATGATAGCTTTATGTTTTATTCATAGAATGCCTTTACTTTTGTGTTATAAAGTTCCACTTGTGTTTCTTTTGCAGGTATATGCTACCATGTCACCTATCGTACATATTGTAAATGTAGGATCTGCTGCCACCGAATCTCTTGCCAATATCACAGTATGGCTATCAATCTCTGTTTGTTTGGAATTCTTTTAACGGAGATGCTAACATTTTCAAGGGACTGCAATGTTTTGCAGTTTATCGCTTAGCGGCATCATTTCTAATCCTTTTTAGGCCAGGGAACAGACTGAACTATATCTGTCTAGCGGATAATTATAAGCTCCAGCAAGACAGCAGTGGTTGTGCATTTTTAAGTTAAATATTACCATGATTTAAATAATGACTTGTTTAAATTCTTGAGGCTTAATGTTCTTGTATTAATTTTGGAATGATAAGCTCATTCTTTTGGATAAACAATATCTCTTTACGAACTATTGGAAAAAAACACCCAAAGGTGTGGCCTAGTGGTCAATGAAGTGGGTTAAGAACTATGAGGTTTCAGGTTCAAATCCAAGCGGAGGCAAAACACTAGGTATTTCTTTCCATATGTCCAAGCTTTGGTGGACCAAGTTGACTGATACTTGATGCTGGTAGGAGTTAGCAGGTATCTTGTGCCAAAGTGCGCGCAAGCTGGCTCGGACACTACAGTTATCCAAAAAAAGCCGTGACTTAATTCCTCGCATGTTCTAAAGTTCCAAAGTAACTAAGCCAAGTATGAAAGATTTTTGTCTTCTCTTTTCTTCTTTTTCTGAACACGAAATTTGTTCAAGTAATTTTATTTGAGTGAGTTTGCCTTGTTATACGGTTTTGTTTGTACATTTAAATTGTTCAATGTGAAATGTCCTTGGGTAACCTATCTTATAATTAAAAATTAATGCATTGAGCATTTCCCTGTGGTATTGGTCGACAAAATCATAGTACCAGATGCAACTACCGCTAACATTTGGCATAAAAGATTAGGATCGAAAAGGACTATTAGAAATTTGAGAGGAGTACCATATGCAACTACCACGATCATGGTTTGGGCTATATAATAATCTTGTATAGTGAATATATAAAATACTGATTCACTATTTTTTTTATGATGCTTAATACTGACTTATCTTATCTCCACTATTCCCTCAGCCGAGGGCCTATCGGAAACAACCTCTCTACCTTTATAAGGTAGGGGTAAGGCATGCGTACACATTACCCTCTCCAGACCCCATTTATGGGATTACACTGGGTTTTTTGTTGTTGTTGTTGTTGTTGTTGTTGTTGTTGTTGTTGTTGTTTATTAATACTGACTTACTTGAATCCAGGAAATTCATGATGGTCTGGATTTGGCCGCTGACGAGGATGATTCTTTTGGAATCTTCTCTGTGAAATTTTCGACTGATGGTCGGGAAGTTGTTGCTGGAAGTAGTGATGATGCAATCTATGTTTATGATCTTGAAGCAAACAAACTCTCTCTTCGAATATCTGCACACGAAGTATGATTATGCTTATGATATAGATGTTTGTCACAAATCTCTTCCTATTGAAGCAGCTTTTTGTTAAAACTAATGCTACTACTACCCTTAGAATGGCACTTCCGGTTCTGTTTGACAATTATGATGCTAATACATATTCTTCTTGGGCTTGTTTTAGTAGTCACCGTTCTCTTTTTCATGGAAATACAGTATTTTTTCATTATTCAAAAACATATTCACCAGTTTAGGAATTCTCATATATTTGCTTCTTTGAGAATACGCGAGATTTTAATTGTCTACTTTCTGTTGATTAACTGAAATAATTTTCTGTTGCAGTCTGATGTCAATTCTGTATGTTTTGCTGATGAAAGTGGCCATCTTATTTATTCTGGAAGTGATGATAATCTGTGTAAGGTGATACTCATCCTGTCTTGTTTTTGGAAAGATGCTTATAGAAGATACTTGTTGAATTAATGACAAAGCTAAGGGTAGTAACGTAGTATTGGACTATGTAACTATGGCAAGAGTCACTATTCATACTTGTTTTTATTACTCTCTCCGTCCCAATTTATGTGACACTCTTTCTTTTTTAGTTAGTTCCAAAAAGAATGACACCTTTCTATATTTAGCAACAGTTTAACTTTAAAATGCCCGTTTTACCCTTAATAAGATGATTTATAGCCGCACAAATATCTACGGCTCATTTTAGACTTCAAGCTTCAAAAGTCTTGCTTTCTTTCTTAAACTTCGTGCCCAGTCAAAAACTGTCACATAAATTGGGACGGAGGGAGTACGATGTTTATGTACATTACAAAACATTTGCATAGATTGTGTATAATCTGTTCGTAACAAAATTAGCAGACCTCTTCTTGATTCTCTTAGGACCAGTCATTTGAGTCTGGATGAACTTATATATGTATGCTTGACATAATATTTATTCATAAGTCAAGATTTTTTGTTTTGTTTTTAGGAGTAATGAGCTTGTTGCTCTGTATAGGTCTGGGACAGACGTTGCTTTAGGGCCAAAGAAAAGCCAGCGGGAGTCCTGATGGGACACCTAGAAGGCATTACTTTCCTTGACAGTCGGGGGGATGGTCGTTATTTCATTTCTAATGGTAAAGATCAAGCCATCAAGCTTTGGGATATCCGCAAAATGTCTACTAAATCTACTTGGTATGCTTATTCTCTGGCTATGACTCTCCTTGATGATTCTTCTTCCTTTTGATCCATTTCTATGATTTTTTGATTTACTAATTAGATCAAGGAGGTACAAAATAGTAGAATACATGAGATTCTATGAGCTTTGTCATTAATAGATGAATCACATTAAATTCACCAAAACCGATTTTGAGACACTTATGACAATCTTTTCTTTCCTTGAGTCTGAATATCTTTGTGACTCATTTTTGCTTGCTAATTAGACATTACTTAGAAGTGTTTTCAAAATCTTATGGGTCTCTACACGGCTTTCATTGGGAATAATTATCACACTTGAAAACTCAACATGATTTTGAAATGATTCTTTACGAAAATTAATGTTCCACTTGATTACTTATTGACAGAGACGGAGTTAGGATTTCAACTTAATGGGTTCTGGATTTAGAACGACCACTTCAAGTGCTAATAACTGGGTTCTTAATATACTATTTTATGAATTTCTTAAAACAAATACGCTGTTTGAACAAAAGTTACTGGGTTCGGCCGAACTCATACTCGGGATTCTAGCTCTGCCCTTGCTTATTGATAGTCTCAATCAGACTCATGTATTATCTTGTTTCAGCAATATGATGTTCAGGCATTATGAGTGGGATTATAGATGGATGGACTACCCTCCTCAAACTAGAGACTTGAAGCACCCCTTTGATCATTCAGTAGCCACTTATAAGGGTCACTCTGTCTTGCGTACTTTAATTCGCTGCTACTTCTCCCCCGAATATAGGTTAGTGCTAAAACATGCTGCGTTAACTCTTCGTTTATCTATGACAACTTTCATTTCCTCTTCGTTCAACTTGCTCACATATTAGTCAATCTAGTGTATTACATATTTAAATATTTCTTGGCTTATGTTTTACAGTACTGGTCAGAGATACATTTACACTGGGTCCCATGACACTTGCATTTACATCTATGATTTGGTAAGTATGTAGCTATATATCAGCTTATTAGTGTCCTTTGTGAATTGTACCTTTGAAATATAGAGCATAGATAGTTGAATGTCTTTCGAAATGGTAGTGCTTGTTGCTCTATTTGAATGGGATTTAAATAAACTAACTTTTGGATTGTTCGATCAAGAAAACATGCAGTTGCTCTACGATAGGAGAACGTAGGCACTATATGCCCCTGTGGTGCTACTTTTGTGCATTTGCTCAAAGTTGGTGAAATGATGCTTAAAATATGGTTTTGCAGGATCAATTACGAAGAAGGTCATTCAGCTGATAATATAATTCGGGTTAGGGTGTTTATTTGGATCAGGGAGGTTTTTTTAAAAGTTTAAAAGTAATTTCTTAATAGAATAGGACGATTTCTGGCCAATCCTTAACCCCTTTGCTGGCTAAGAGCTGCATCAACCACTACTTCTATAGATGGCTCAATTCGATAACCGTTGTCTTTTTTTCCTTTTCTTGTACATCCTTTTGTCCAACTTTAGTGAACTTTGTTTTGTGAGGACAAAAATAGAGAACTTTTCCCCCAAGCTGTTCAATTTTCCAGTCATGCCTATTATCTATTGCTCCTAGTAGATGTGCCCATATTGATTTGAGCTCTTGAAAAATGAAGATAGCCTTGCTAGAAGCTATGCTCTTGTCAATCGTCGAATTAGACATGCGTCAAATCTAGTATAGACAAAAAAAAAAGTTTGTTGATTTCTCATTTGTTTAAGACTTGGTGGACAGAGTTATTGAGGTCGATTTCTAGATAGCACATAGGCGATCTATGATTTCATCAGAATCTCCCACGTTATAAAAATGATCTTGGTAATAAATACTAAGCGATCAATTAGAGATTGCTTGAGCAATCATAAATAATAAATGGGTGATTTCTAGATAACATATAGGCAATCTATGATTTTACCGGATCTCCCACTTTATAAAAAAAGATCCTGGTAATAACTAATAAGCGATCAATTGAAGATCACTTAGTCAATCATAAATAATACATGAGCGATTTCTAGATAACACATAGGCGATATGTGATTTCACCACGATCTCCCACTTTATAAAAAAATGATCCTGGTGAAAGCTAATAAACGATCAATCAGAGATCATTAAAGCGATCATAAATAATACATGAGCGATTTCTAGGTAATACATAGGCGATTTATGATTTACTAAGATCTGTCACTTCATAAAAAACAAATCCTGATAATAACTAATAAGCGATCAATCGAAGATCATCTAAGCGCTCAAAATTAATATATGAGCGATTTTTAGGTAACACATAAGCGATCTATGATTTAAACAGGATTTCCCACTTTATAAAAAAATGATCCTGATAGTAACTAATAAGCAATCAACCAGAGATAACTTAGGTGATCATAATCATAAATAATATATGAGTGATTTCTAGATAATACATAGGCAATTTATGATTTCACCAAAATCTCTCATTTTATAAAGGCAATCGGCTATATAAACTCCACATTAACATATTGCAATACCGATGTGATACTCAAGTCCCTTACGTTGTAGTAGATGATATCATTCTCCTAAAAATTCAAATGGCTAAAGAGTATTGGTGGCTTTTCACCAATACACGCCTGTTGAGTCAATCTTGGCTTTTGGAAATTGTACCCCCTCTAACGGCTACACAGTACACTAATTAGTGATGCAAATAATAGTCAACGATAAAGTAATTGAGCAAGTAGTTTTGGAGAAGAAAATTGCAGATAATAATTAATAGAAAAAAGATGAGAACACAAAATAACTTTATGGTATTGTCATTGCAAAAGTAGTATGTATATTGATGTAGAAAAGTAAGAGTAGGTGGACTTCTTCAAACCGTGTAGAGAAAGACCATTATTAGTTTCATAGTTCAGCAACTGGCTTAAAGAAATAAGATAGAGACTTGGTCCAGAATTAAATTAGTTCAATTAAATGAGGCAACCCCACCTAAAAACCAAGAAAAATTCATAGTTTTCCTTGTTTGACTTATGCTTTTTTCCAGTTACAACAATATAAAGATGTAAACAAAAGAATGAAAATTTCTTCTTTTAAGATATTAAACTTCAAAGCAGAAAAATGATCCATTGATGGAGGACAAGAAAGCCTATTCCATAGCCATTTCATTGGTGATTCTGTTGATCATAGGTGTCGTTATTGCTCGGCTAACGCTTAAACTTACAGAGACTTTTTTCCTCATATGTGGAGCGGATGTTGCAGCTATTGTTGCTGTCTTTGCTTTTGTTATAATCCGAAGGAAGTTCAACAGCAGGAGGCAATTACTAGTAAAGCAACTCGATTCAGATGGACGCGAGTTGAGGATAGAGTATAGTTTTCTTAGGAAAGTTGCAGGGGTTCCAACAAGATTCAGATTGAAAGAGCTGGAACAAGCAACCGATAACTTTGGTTCGTTAGTAGGTCGTGGATCATCGGCTTGTGTTTTCAAGGGCATCCTCAGTGATGGTGCAGCAGTGGCAGTGAAAAGGATTGAAGGAGAGGAGCGAGGCGATAAGGAATTTAAATCAGAAGTTGCAGCCATTGCCAGTGTCCAACATGTCAACCTGGTACGCCTATTAGGGTACTGTAGTGTTCCCACCTCGGGGCCGCGTTTCTTGGTTTATGAATATGTTGTTAATGGATCACTTGATAATTGGATTTTCCCTCGAAGGAAAATCCGAGATCGCCCAAGTGGCTGCTTGTCATGGGATTTAAGATGCAGAGTTGCCTTAGATGTGGCTAAGGCACTTTCCTATATGCATCACGATTGTAGGTCGTGTATTTTACATCTTGATATCAAGCCTGAGAATATTCTTCTTGATGAGAATCACCGTGCCCTTCTCTCAGATTTCGGGCTATCAAAGTTAATGGGGAAAGACGAGAGTAGAGTTGTCACAACAATCAGGGGAACTCGAGGCTACTTAGCCCCAGAGTGGCTTTTGGAGAACGGGATTTCTGAAAAAAGTGATGTTTATAGTTATGGAATGGTACTTTTGGAATTGATTGGTGGAAGAAGAAATATACGCGCGGTTGATCAACATGGAAAAAATAATCCGGACAAGTCAAAGGCGAAGAAATTCATCTACTTTCCCAAGATTGTGAGTGAAAAACTGGCACAAGAGAAAATCATGGATGTTGTGGATGAGAGGCTCGTTGATGAGGTCGTTGCAGGAGGAGAAGTCGCAGAAATACAAGTGAAAAGATTGGCGTGTGTGGCGTTGTGGTGCATCCAAGAAAGGCCTCGGCTTAGGCCAACCATGGCACGAGTCGTGGAAATGTTGGAAGGGCGTTTGCCAGTAGAAGCGCCTGCACAGACGACAATGCCAATCGCTGACCTATTAGCAAATGACGAAGATCTTGATCATCATCCCCGGCAGCCTACAGCTAACCTTTCTTCTGATTCCACTTACTCTTTTACAATGTCTGTTCTCTCAGGAAGGTAGTACCAAGGCTACATCTTGGAATGTATCTGCTTCCTTCATTCTGCTTTTGTTTACACCAAATTATAAAGGTACACTGGGATGATGTTGTTGTTGATTGCTTTTTTGGGATCCATCCATGAGGATAAAGTATATGCATTTTGCGATTAAAAAGGGCAGCCTAATGCACTAAGCTCCTGCTATGCACGGGGGCCGGACCACAAGGGTCTACTGTACGCAGCATTGCCTAACATCAACTTTTCCAGTTACGCCAAAACTTCCCTTTATACATTTTGCGAACAATGTTAAATTAAGTGGACTCCAAAAATCAAAATATTCAGTTGATACGAGTACTAATGCGTGCCATCTACATTCAAATTTGAAATCAGGTTTATGGCACCTGATCTCCTTAGTCTGAAATTGTGTTTTGCACTTTTCAGCAATGTGTACAATTTCAGGCCAAAGGTAAACATATGAGTTTTGAAACCATTGAACTCATATACAAGTACTAATGACATCAGATGAATGATCGAATTAACAACAGGTTTAAATCTCCCCTTAAACGTGATTTTCTTAATGACTACATTGTGGATTTTATTATTTTTGTTGTGTTGTTTAAGACTTTTCCTCCAAGTAAAAGATAAGACATATGAAGGAGATTTATTCCTTTTAGGAGTTTTTTCCCCTTCTTGCAAGAAAGAAAGTCCTACTAGATTAGAAATTCAGGGCAAAACCCTAACAAATTTTGCCAATAACAAATGTAAGATCGTGCGTTAGCACTCTTGCAACAAACTGATGCACTAAGACACGATGATTATTGACTTTCATGCAGCTGCTACGCCATTGCTTCTTCATACATACAAATTGAAGCTCAACCATTAACCTCAACAGGTATTTTCTGCAGATGGCTCAATTCGAATTGTCTAAAAATTGGTGGACGGAGTTATCCAGTACTGAAACACAAGATGGAGACATATCGGCTTATATTCCCATCAATGGCGGCTTCATTATTGATAGGACAAATCTGTATAGAAACAGAGCTCTTATATTGCGCAAAATGTTGGCTTATCTATTAGTCGCATCGGCTCCGCTGCTCAAATGAGTGTAGCCAGCAATTGAACCACAAGTTTATAATAGAATTTTAGCAATTAAACTATGCATGAATGCCTATGATTATTGTTGTGATACTAATATTGTCTCCCTTTTTGCCCCTTTTGTCTTTTTATTTTTTTGAGCCGAGTGTCTTTCGTAAACAACTTCTTTACTCCTTCGGGGTAAGGGTAAGGTCTGCGTACACACTACTCTCCCCAGACCCCACTAGTAGGATTTTACTGGGTTGTTGTTGTTGTTGTTATTGTTGTAACTATGCATGAATGTTAAGCTTGGCTCAAATGAGTGTAGCCAGCAATTGAACCACAAGTTTATAATAGAATTTTAGCAATTAAAATATGCATGAATGTTAAGCTTGGCTCAAATGAGTGTAGCCAGCAATTGAACCACAAGTTTATAATAGAATTTTAGCAATTAAACTATGCATGAATGTTAAGCTTGAAAACTGAAGTGTCGAGTAGGAAAAACATAGATTTACTGAATACAAGTTTTGTAATAAATAAGCCAAAATAAAAAGAGTCGTCGACAGCAGGGTTCGAACCTGCGCGGGCGAAGCCCAACAGATTTCAAGTCTGTCTCCTTAACCACTCGGACATATCGACCTTGTTTTATCAGACAACCACGTAATTTATATTATATATTGTCAATGAAAGTCTTCTGAAATTTTTGCACCTATTAAAAGAAGTTTCTTTGTTCCTAAATGTAGTCTCCGTTCATAGTTGTCAACTTCGTTCCTTATAGGATTATCAATGCTATTGATTTGACTCCATACCAACACCTTTTTTTCATTTTAGAATGCTAAGTGATTTTGTAACTTGAACATAACTTGCTAGCCTTTTTTCTTATTAAGAGGCAAATAAATCTAATTGATCGTGAAGTCATCTTAGACTCCTATACACTCCAAAAAAATAAAAACAAAAAAATTAGAGACGCAAAAATCAAATATGTCATACTCTCTCTGTTTCAATTTATGTGAACCTATTTGACTGGGCACGAAATTTAAAAAAAGAGAGAAAACTTTTAAATTTTTGTGTAAAATAAGGCACATATATTTTGTATGGATATAAATTATTACATAAAGTTAAATTGTTTTCAAATAAGAAAAGAGGTCATTTTTTTTTTAGCAAACTAAAAAGGAAATAATTTCATGTAAATATATCACTACATATTTATTCTACTATGCACTAGGTGAAGCAAGGTGGTCTTCGCCCACATGCCTGCTTTACCTAAAATATATTTGCCACTTCTTTTGTATATTATTACCCCAATTGCCATCACAAAGTTTTGTAAATATTCGAAACTTATTAGTCATTCCTAGGGCCCATATTGTAAGCCCCAATTCCATTTGTGCTGCCCTGAATGTCTGCTTTATAGAAAATATTTTTGTCCCTGCTTTTATATATTATTATTTCAATTGCTATTGTACATTTTAGTAAATAATGAAAACATTTGATGCATTTATAAGGCCCAAATTGTCAACCCCAGTAGTGTTGTATGTATATTATATTATTATTACTTTACTACTTATTAATTTAATAATAAGAGGGAGTAGCAAGCACCTAAAGATCAACATGCCTACTTAGGATATTTTGGTCATTAATTAGCTGACTCTTTGTATTAATATATCAACATGTGGATTCATTTTTTGACAGCTGCGAAGTATACACTTTACCAAAAACTCGTCTGCAAAGAGACGCCGCCCTTCCCTTACTCATCTGCTCTTCCCTTGCTCATTTTCTTCTGATCTTTGTACTTTGCCGGATTACTCTGGTAATTACTCATCTTTGTCTCTTGTAATTCTTCTATCATGACTTTCATCTACTGTACGGGTTTCGTCTCTTTGCTGTAAAAGTATGGATTTTAATTTTTGTTTTTAGAGTTTGAATTTATGGTTGTCATATACTTTGAAAATTTTACTGATTTTCTTTGGTTATTGAATTAGTTGGCTTTATTATATATTTATACCCACTTTAACATATTGATTCTTTTATATGAACTTTTATCTCTGGGTTTCTTTTCTACGTTGTGACCTTTGGATTTCTCTTAAAGTTTTATTTTTTTGAGTTTGCAAATCCAATTTATATGTTCTAAAAATTAATTTTTTAGTGTTTTGTGGGTTTTACATTTGTGGCTTTTGAATATTTTAAATTATATGTGAATTTTGCATATCTTAAGTTTTTTATTTGTGGGTTCTCATCCTAAGAGAAGCAAAAGAGTTAATACTACTTGATTAGCACATGTTCATACAGTAAACGAAATAGGTTAAAATACCAAGTCCTGATAATAAGCAATTCTTAACACAGTAGATTAATTTTCTATTGTTTGTGTTTGAAAAAAATTCTTGAACGACCAACCCTATCAGTTGAGTTAGCTTTTGTAAATTGGAATAACAAAGTTTTGCGTTCTTCAGTATCAATTGTTTATCGACACTGAAAAATCAATTTAAGATGACCTTAGCGATGCACTGTGCTGGGAATTGTCTACAATACAATCTCAAACATGTCTTAAAAGAGTAATGAGCGACTTAGTTTTAAGAAAGATAAAATAAAGGAAACACAAGAAAAACAACAATTTTCTTGTATGTGTTTGTTTGAATACGAATGAAAAGTTCAAAGGGAAGTAAAATAGTCATATTACAACTTTAAAATCTTGGCAGGGTTGCCAACAAAGATGTTCTTGCAGTAAAATTTTTAATGAATTGCACAACATTCCAATTATCCAAAGGCTAGAAAAATAGTGAAAAATTGGCTCTTCAATCCAACTTTTTGGACATAAATTGCACATTAAATAATGGGTTTACAAAAAGCTTTAATCTTTAGTTAATTATTAGTTTTATTTGTTGTATTGGTCTACGATTTTCAAGTTTAATTTGGTCTTAAACATCTTTGAGCTGAAGTTTGTGTTCCACATTTGACTAATGCTACCACGCTCGAAGTTTAGACTGCATTGAAGTAAATTGAAGTAACCTATGTTCTGCAGTAGCTAATACATCTTCTGTAGATGGCACAATAGTTGGCTTTGTCAACAGAAACATAACTGGTCACTACTCTATATTCAAATTTTACAAGTTACAACCTTTTTCATGTATTAATTAGAATGATTTGCATATTTAAGTACAACATCAATACAGCAAAGTGATCCACATGATCCATAGACGTCAGTTATTACGAAAAGAGGTTTGTCTTAGTCTAATCTTTTGACAATGCTAGCGATAGGTCTCACCAAGTCCTATTCATGCGTACTAAATTTAATTTTCTCGAAGTGCTTTTGTTCCAAAACTATATATATGAATATGCATGTTCGCTTCTTTTCCTATTGAGTATGGAATGTGGATGATTCAATGAGGGGCACAACAAAATAAGAAGGGCCAACGAGAAAAATGAGAACGTGAAAGGCTAAGATAGACAAAAAGAATCCATTTTTCTTCGATTTGTCATTCCAAATTCATGGAGATGTCATTGACTTTATAAATCACCTTATTCTACCAATATCTACTTAGATAAAATTGATAGATATCTTGTGGAATGGCCACATGATTCTGACCTCATCAGTTTAGAATTAGAATTTTGTGTCCCTCTGGCTTAAGGCAAATGTCATACTCGAGTATTCAAGGATTAGCTACGCGACTAGCTATTGAAAATGCCTTCATAACCTTACATCTTGCATATTTGTTATATAAATGAACTACTGTTGTTGAATGATTGTTACAGACATTTGCTCTTATTCAAAAAAAACTTAGGAGCATGTGACAGTACTACATGTGATTTTCTGTTGCCAGCAGGACTTGTGTGATATTCTTTCCAGAATTCCAGTCATTAAACAATTATATTTTTTCCGATGCTCGTATTCAGTTCAAACTCATTTACCAGCGTGATGAAATTCAGTTTTGCTCAGTAGTCAGTATCTATCTTGCTGCTTCCTTCAACCTTAGTTTTTCCTATTTTACATATGTGCTACTTACTTTGTTTTCAAAGTATAGCGTACAACTGATTAGTCAATTCCTTCTTAGACATAATGTTTAACTAAACATTAAAGTAACAAAGTCATGCCTACACCAAATGTGCTTCATGATAAGTGTTCTCACAAAAAAATTGATTCCTAAAGTTATGTCAATGGCTAATTTATTTCACTGTTATAGTACATATAGTTTATCATCTTATTGACAACAATTGTAACTGTTGCTATCTTATTACTTTATCATTATGGCTTCTATAGTAACTCTGTAATCTTCTATTTCTCCTCTGGGTGGAAGCTCATCCTTGTAGATATTATCACCGTTGAAATATTATCATTGTACCTCTATTTACAATAGCATAGCTTTATTTACGTGGGGCAGAAGCTCATTCTTATAGATATTGTCATTGTACCTTTATTTTCAGCAGCATAGCTTTATTTATGCTCGGCAGAAGCTCATTCTTTTAAGTATTGTCACTGTACCTCTATTTGCAAAAGCATAACTTTATTCACATTGGGTCCGGGCTTTGCCCGGGCTATCCCTACTAGTATTTTATATACGTTTATCTTATTTATAGTCCAGAGAGTCCAGACACTCTTATCTTTTGTAACCATCCTATTCAAAAACTCTATAAATTTATCCCTAATAAATATAATTGATCTTGATTTGCTTTCAAGCTGCTACTTGCAATTTGCATTTCTATAATCAAGTTATTCCAATCAATTTCACATAAAACGCCGGGATAATGATTCATTTTTTAGAACAAAGATCAGATCTAATAGGAACTTTTGGCGGTTCAAGATATGATTGAGTAGCAGTCAAAATTGCCAAGGAACGTGTTATTATTACTTGCTTGTTGGTAGAATTTTTCACTAAAAAGAGTCAAAATATAAGGAATTAAATACGCAAAAATGTCCAAGAGATTCAACTATAGTATTGTATACGGTCGAAATAGATTTCGGCTTTCGTACGTTTGATCGAGTTTGAAAGGTAATTGATCGAAGTGAGACTTCGAGATGGGTTTCGAAGATC